ACCCGATCCACAAGAGGGTTGCGAGTAGGATACTTAGTTGTTTATTTTTCATTTATTTCTTTGATTTTTTATTACTTTTAAAAGGGTCATTCTCATAACCCTATTGGATAATCTGAATTATTGTATAATGAATGTAAACCCTAATTATTTATTTCGCTTCTGCATTTAATTCATAATTTATTTCATTTCAAGTTCACCGACCGTTACAGTTGGTATTAGAGTCGCGTTCCTCGGAATCATTCCTTACACAAAATCCTTAGGAAACACTAAAAATTATGAATTATCACTCAACTATTCCTTGTGAAATGCAGGTACAGATAGATGAGGAGAGGAAGACCCCACTAAACTAAGCTGCCCGAGAGGGTTCGCTTCGAGAGGATGTTGACCGGCTATTTGGAATACTGGAGAGATTCATCGCTGCTTAGCAGGCTCGAGAGGAAATAAAGGAGCTACCTGACCCTCCCCCGCTGCCACATGTTGAGCCACCCCAGTACGATCCTGCTCCTCCACAGTACTATCCAGCACTACCACAGTATGATCTGGTGCTCCAGCCACAGTACTACCCGGCACCACCACAGTATAGCCCGGTGCCCCAACCGCATCACTCGACACCACCACAATATAATCTGGTGCCTCCACTGTATTATCCAGTGCCACCCCAAGGCTATCCAGTCCATTCTCAGCACAATCCAGTCCCTCTCCCACGGGACTCAGTTCCTCCCATGATGGACCCAAGCTACATTGAGAGGTATAATATATTGAGAGATAAAAAAGATTAAACTCATCTAATTTTGCAGGGGCATCTTCATTTAAAGAGGTCGAGTACTAGTTGGCTGAGACAGAGAAGATCTTCATGACTCTTAGGGTGATTCCCGAACAGAGAGTCATACTTGCCACCTATATGCTAGTGGGAGAGGCAGGCTGCTGGTGGCAACTTAAGCAAACCACCTTGCCCGTTCAAGTCACTTGGGAATAATTCTTGACGGCCTTTAACGTAGAGTACCTTACAAAGCATTTCGGACATTTGAAGAAAATAAAGTTTGTACACCTAGTCTAGGGTGACATGACTATATTAGAATATGTTCGAAAGTTCTTAGAGTTGGGCCAGTATTCTCCTGAGAGCATGATGGATGAAAGCAAAAAGACAAGAAAATTCGAGTGGAATTTTCGTCATAAGATCAAACAGTAGCTGTTCTAGCAAAAACACACCTAGTAGAGAGGAACCTTCACATTTTTCCTCCAGCAGTAGGGAACCTCAGACCCTCAGCTTCACACCGCAGACCAGCACCTACTGTACTTATTCAACAGAATAAAAGACCTAAATCGATGACTCAGACTCCCTATCAGATTCTAACAACAGGACGCGATAGGACTTACTAGCACTGTGGCAGGGATCATGGGGACTGACCCTGCTATCGCCTCAATAATACTTGCTGCATATGTGGGAGTGTCCAGCATTATGCGAGGAAATACCTGAGGAATCAGAGCTAGGCCAGACCTCCTATCCAAGGTAGAGTTTACAACCTCACTCAGCAAGATGCAGCAGCCAACCCAGACGTGGTACAAGGTACGTACACTATCTGTAATCATCTTGCACATGTTTTGATTGATACTGATGTCTCACATTCATTTGTTTCACATATTTTTGCATTAAACTTGAATGTATTACTTGAAAGAGTTGACTCTATATTATTTGTGTCTACTCCTAGGAGTAGGACACTATTGGGGGAGGTTAGATACAGAGCTTGTGTCATAGATATAACATATAAGAAATTGAGTGCGGACCTAATAGAGATTGACATGAAGGACTTTGATGTAATCTTAGGAATGAACTGACTAACGGCGTATCATGCCACCATAGATTGTTTTCATAAGAAGCTTGTATTCAACCCTACTAATAAAAAGTCATTTACAAATTAATAAAATTCTTTAACATTTGTTTTCTTAAGACAAATTTTTCTATTATTAAGTGCTTTAATCCGGCTGTTTTCTCTAGCTAGGCAAACATAAGAAAGAAATTTATATTCAAGAGATTCCGATAGTCCAAGAATTTCTGGATGTGTTCTCAGATGAACTACCTGAACTGCCAGTGGACAGAGAAGTCGAATTCACCATAGACCTTTAGCCAGACATCCAGCCTATCTCGGTTGTCCCTTACCGCATGAGTCGTGTTAAGATGGAAGAGTTGAGAAAACAGATCAATGAATTGCAGGATAGTGGATTCATCCGACATAGTATGTCCCATTGGGGTGCTGGAGTCACATTTGTAAGAAAGGGAAATGAGATGTTGAAGTTATGTATCAATTACAAAGGTTTGAACAGGGTCATGATCAAGAACAAGTACCCCCTCCGCAGGATCGACAACCTTTTTGATCAGTTACAGGGTGTCCAGGTCTTCTCCAAGATAGACCTGCATTCAGGTTATCATTAGGTAAAGATCAAGGCAGAAGATATTTCTAAAATAGTCTTTTGATCCAGGTACGGACACTATGAGTTTCCGGTCATGCTATTTGGACTAACCAACGCACCAACTATCTTCATGGATTTGATGAAC